CCCCAAAACCCCAAAACCCCGCTAAGCCACTATATTTAAAAATCAAGATAATCTGAGATATAATAATGATTTCATTCTAATCAACCAAAACTTAATCAAATTCATACTTATTTTTCGATCACATTACATCTTTAATCACTAAATTGGCCTAAATTCTCTATTTCTTCTCATCAAATCAATTTTTGGTAGTTCAAACTCAATATCCTAAAGTTTACTTTCACTCTATCTTAGTGGGTTTTTACCATTTGCTTAAACTCTTTGCCCAATCTAAGAAATGCCTTATCCATCACCTTTATTTTAAACATTAACTATTGCTTTACTAGCTTATCTATTCTCTGATCTAGATTATGACTGCATTGGTTACTAACGAGTATTGAGTATATTAGCATCACTGTTCGCTATTTGAGAATTCTACCCTTATACTTGGCTCATATTCTAGTAGGCATGGTACATCTCCTCTAATTATTGTTTATTAAGCAGTCTTTCCCTTTCATTCATTCCATTCAGAGCGGAATAGTTAAGGTCACCTTTCCCCATTGACCTTTTGGAATTAGATTTTATTTGTTACTAGAGCAGTTATTTAAGGTTCAAAACTTGTTGTTGCTTCTATTATGACTACTACTACATCTGCTCATAGTACTCTTACTCTTTCTTCTTTACTTATTCAGCATAAGAAATATCATTTTAGACTATCTGCTGTATCCTTTAATGCTTATCCTAGATTTACTTGTCAAGTTATTAAGGCTATAATCTATTAGTTAATCAGTTGATAATATTTTTACCAATGACTTGTAGTCCTGCTGATTTATGTATTTATTCATTTTAATCAGATTCTATTGTCTTTTCTAATTGTCAAGCTCTGCCTTCGCATTAAAAACTGCTCCGAAAAACTTCTCATCTTCTTAAAGCTTTTAGCGCCTTTACTGCTTAATCTCCAATTGCATATCTAAGCCTTCTTTGATCATTCTCCTACTAACATTGATCTTCTCTCTTTCTTTTTACTAAATCTCGCCCCACTATCCCTCTTACTGTGATAAATACTATAAATAGCCTTACTCTTCTTGCTATTTTATCAGTTTCTACAATTTAAGTTATAATATTATTTTGATTAAATTACATTTTCTTAGATTATAGTAGACCTCATTTTCAGCTCTCTCTATTCTAAATCTCTTCTCTTAGCTCTGCTCTCTAGATTTCTCTTATTAATCATATCGTCATGCTTTTGCTTCATATTCATATCGTACTCTACTACTTTCCTGTCTATGACTTAGTCAAATGCCTTCTTATACAGAGTGTTTTTGACTTTCAAGTCTGTATGATTATCAAGATTCTGTTTAAAATTCTATTTCTATTGCATCTTTTGTTGTCTCTCTTGCATTGTCCTTTATTATTCTTTAAAATCTTAATACTTTGCTAGTAATCCCCATTCATCTATCTTTTAGCCATTTAAGGATTATGGTGATAATGAAAATGCTCTGGCTTCAAAATTCTAAGCATTGATATGATCACTAGATAGCAAATTTTAGGCGCTATTATCAATCAATTAGCTTAAGTTAGACTTATCATTCTTTAGATCAAAAGTTTTGTTCACATTTTGGTTGCTTTTATTTGATTGATGATTGGGTTTAACTTTATTATTTACTGTCCTTGATGTAATATCCTAATTGATATAGTTTTGATACTGCATTGTTTGCTCCTAAGAATTATTCCCAGTTAGCAAGACACTACTTTTAATATTGTTATGATTGATGAAAGTAGGTCCATTCATATTTCTTGAGAGCAGAGTTCTTTACAGATTAGGATTAGGCTATTCAGTTAAATTTCTATCTGTTTTAATGTCCATGTTTTGATTAAAGGTTACCTGAATCTGATTGGTATAGGCATTATTGGCTGTATTTATGTGATGAGGTTACATCTAAGGAGGTGGACTTTGAGATTGACTATAGGTTTTTAGTTATAAATCTTTAGCCTTGTTCCATTAGCCTTGTACTATGGGGCCTGGATTTTAGATTAACAAATTAGGATTGTAAGTTTGATATATAGCTTATTATCTTTAGTGTAAGTTAGATTGGACCTATGAGACTGTACTCAAGCCACCAATGATTTACTAATTACCTTGTTCAGAGCTGCTCACACTTCCCTAGCCACAATTATTCATGCTTGACTTGAGATTATTTACTATTTAATCAACAGGCAATGATCTTATCTGCTCTTAATTCATATTCTTGAGTGAATTGTTAATTACTTAGATAGAGTTTACTCCTAACTGCTCCACTAAGCGCCTTTTGACTTCCAAAGCCTTAGTGCCTATTGTTCGGGTTTCTTGTCTTTAATTCCATAATTCCAGCATTTTATAATTTTTATTTTGCTACTATATCGTACTTTACAAAATCCTAATATTTTTCTGTATTCTATACTGTGGGGTTTTGGGGTTTTGGGGTTTTGGGG